AACTTCATTATGAAATGTATTTAAGAACTGGACGAGGAATTTAAAAACTGAGTTACCTTCGTTGAGTATCAGAAGTGTTTTTTCTGAACGAGATTTGATTAATCTCCATGTGCAATCGTGTAAATCTATGTCCAATGCTCATCATTAAATGTTATTTTGTAGCAGAATGCAGTGTTATTGAAATGATAACTTCTATTGTCACGTTTTGCTGGAGAGTGAACTTTAATGAATGTCACGCTCAGGGATGTAACACTCATTCGGCTTTTTTCGTCTTTAGTCTGACATACACACCCCTAAAAAAAGGAAGGGAGAGACGTTTCCCCACCACTCTGAAACGTGGTAGTTTGCCCCCACCAATACGCCCTACAAGTAAAGTTCCTAGCGTCGATCTAAATGGGTCTCCCCCGCCACCTCTTTCTACGGAAATGAATCCGGGGGTTCTTTCGTATCCTAGTTGAAGCATGAAAATGAAACGTGATATTTTTAAAAAATAGGCTTAGAGAGAAAGAGAAATGCTTCACTAAAATTAAGCATAAAATGTAGAAAAAGGACAAATTTTTATAGAAGTAAGTAAATAGTATAATTATCATTAGTAATATTGTAGGGATCTTAAGATTAAAAATTAAAACAATTAAAAATTTAAAATAACAAAATTAAGTATACAGGTATTAAAGAGCTAGTATAAGTTAGAGATTATGTGATATAAATCTTCTGATTATATCCCTTTTTTAAGGTTTTGACATAGATTCCTCTCTTCCCAATCAACTACCTGTCTTACTATCTCTTTGCATCATTTCATGAGTAGAACTGAATTTTGTTAAATTACAACCAAAATTCACAAAGCCAGATCGGGTCTTCTGAACAAATTACCTGTGATTTTAAGGGTTAATTTTAAAATAGATTTTTCAAAAGACAAATCAAAACCTTTAGTTGATTTTTTAAAATCAAAATTCAATTTAATTATGTGAAATGATCCAAATGTAGCAAGAGGAAGTACGAAACAAAGCTTGATAGAGTTTTTATTATAGATATTTAAATAAAATTTTGAATCTAAAAGGTTTATAACTATAAATCTATTGTTTCTTTTTTAGAATACAATTAATTCCCAAATATGATTGTATATTTTGCACAAAAACTTTACTTTATGAGTGCAGACACACGAATAAATAATTTTATGGGTCAATGCTAATATCCCTTGTTTTTTATTCCCCTAACTACCCTGAAATAACATTACAAAATTTGAAGTTATCACTTCTATCGTGTGGTCATATTTTCTTATTTAAATACCATAGACTACACAGTGTCTTAACCCCATATATATATATATATATAACACATATATATATGTATATATATATATAACACATATATATATATGTATATATATAACACATATATATATATATATATATATAACACACATATATATATATATATATATACATACATACATATGTATATATATATATATATATACATACATACCTTAAATTCCGCATGTTGAAGCTAAGGCGAAGTTTAAAGCAGAATCTGTAGCTACTCAAAAATACAGGTAATGTCTGATGGGCTTCTCTTCTTGCTTCGCTCAGTTTTTAAATTAATAGTTTTAATTAAATACTTAAAATTAGTATTGTATTTACAAAGATGAATTAATTATATTTAAGTTTGTTGAGTTATATGATGCACATTTGAGTCTGTTTAGTGTTTATTTAGTATATACAGAACCTTCAACAAATATTGCGGGGAAAAAGCAAACAATCCTTTTGAAATCTAAATATTTGCGAAATGGATAATTAATCTTTTCCTTTGATGTAATAGGAAAGATATAACTGTTAATATAGCAGTAAATAAAAAAATACATAATTGCAGAAAATCTAATGCAATATTCAACGTGAAACAAAACTAAAAGAGTTGGTCATAGACTTTTTCATTGGTGAGAGAAATCACGAAATATTATAATATTATATCACAAAGAAACATGATTTTACATTAAAGGAAAACATTTTGATGACAATTTGTTGTTTACTCCTATAAATTTATGAAAGTGAGATAATATTACTAATCTATAAGCAAAAATGCAAGAAAATGTAACAAGTTATTTAACTGCTCTGATGGGACTATTGCTTTAAGTAACGAATATGTTACATTGATTTAAATTGAGCATAATCAGCATTCAACAAGTTCATTTGGGTGTAAAATGGTAAATTTATCTAGTTTCTGAAGACAAAATAGTGGCATTCCATTTGCTTGTGGTCAAGTCAATTCAAACAATATTTATTCCTTCTGCGTAAAAGATAATTAAATATCAACACAAAACTGTAATTCATTAGCAAAATAAGAACAAGATACAATTTATTGAGGTAAGGTTTTAGATTGAGTAAAGAAATAAATTTTGAAGAAATATATAATGATCAATAACTGGTTAGCATATTCATGAGAGTATATCTTCAGTTTGGTACCATTTGTGGGCAATGGAGACTAAAGTAACAATTGTCTATCAAGCGCCGACATTTATGTCAAAATTTAAATGAACCGAGAGTTATATTATTGGTCTGTTAAAGTGATTGAATGAGAGAAAAATGTAATACGAATATGTCAAGCTTAATATCTATAGATAAAGGGCAAGACAAATTTTCTTTCTTTCTCTCATTATATTGTCCTCTTTATCTATATAATACACACTATAGTTGTGCATTTTATTTGTTTCTGTTAAATTATTGAGCTTATATTAATATGTATAAAGAGAGGATTATTATATTTTTATCAGATTTAATACAATTACTAAATTTTTGGTGAAATGAAAATAATATAAAATGATGCAATAAAAGCGTAGAATCCTTACTATTTAGATTTTAGACTCATACACTAAATTTTAGAAATTACAAAAGGACCTAAAATATTTTTTTTAAAAAAATTGGAACATATTTCTTATGGATTATCTTCTTATTTATTTTATTAATTAGAAATAAAATGTAGTGAATGTATTGTAAATGTTGAATGATTTTTTTATTACTTAGTGCTGAAGAATTCTACAGGCAGAAAAATTAGACATTTAAAATCATTTATGAGAGAGATAGTTTTTATTTGTTTAGCAATTAATATTATGCATATAATGTGTGTATATTTTCTTAATTAGTAGGGAGAGTGCGTAGTTTGCTGAAAATTTTATTTCTTTAGCGTTAGTCGAATATTATTCGAATGCATAATATTTTGTTTTGCAAGTGTCCCTCCTTGACTTGAATCAAGAAATGCAAAACATATCTCTAAATTGAAGTAAGTTAATTTCTTCGATTAAATATTAATTCTTTAAAACACTCACAATTATTTTCTACTTAATCAAGTATTTAAAAAATGAGTTATGTCATAAGTATACTTATATAGTTCTTACTTTCTCAACCAATGTTGAAACTTCTTTGAAAAAAATTCAAAATTCATTTTAAATTTATAAAAATATGAAAATCATTCCTAACACAAACATACATTTCAACTAGTAGAACGCATATTTTAAGAGTACATGGAGCATATATTTTGACTTCTGATTTTGAGCTTTTACAAATTCATTCGCATCATCAAAGTTATTTTGCTAATACTGTTTAACAACCGTAAAACTACTCCAGGGCAGAAATTTGTTTCTGCCAGTTTGTTTACTGCCACTTGTGACATATCATACGATGCTAATATGAGAACATGCAACCTAAAAGATTCAAAGACGCTCTGAATAATTTATTTCTAGTTCTAAGTCAATATTTTCCCCAATCACTTTCAGCTAGCAAGCGTTTGGATATGCTCATGGCTCAAATACCTGAAAACTATACTCTAAGCAGAAAGATAAATCAAGAGTTCTTCGGCACTTTTCACAAAATATTCTTGAAATATATACATACTATTTATTTTGTTAGAAAATTGGAAGGAAGGTCTAAGATGAAACAGATTTCTTTTCAGTATTTTTGAGACTGAGTCGAATACGAGATTAAGTCGAAAGGCAAGAAAACATTTCTAGTACAGATTTTCAACTTATGTATTTTGAAGTTCAGATATTTTTTTGCCGGAGTTTTTGACAATCTCCGTTTTTTTTTATTAAGGAAAGACTGATTTGCTTGAAACTAATGATTAAAAATGAAATGGTATTAAAAAAATCAATAATAGTTTTTCAGAAACTTGTTGATTTTTTAAGGAAGAAAATTAATGCAAAGCATCATTATAGTTAGTATTTAATTTTTTTAAAATGGTTTAAAAATATCAATCTAGATAGAAATACTTTAATACAATATTGTTCTTTTACTATAAAAAAATCCACTTTTCTTGATTTGCTTTTTCAAAGTGTATTTTAGAAAAAGCGATGATTCTTATTTTTGACAATGTAACAGTCATTTGCTTAATGCTTAGTTGAAAATTACAAAATTATATAAAAAAAATTTAACACGACAAATATTTCATTTACAGAAATAATGACTGTAATTTTACTGAATACTGAGAAAGCAACTTTATATCATAATTTTAGAGATCTCATTTTGAAATATGTGGTATATGCTTTTAGTATTGATTTTTGCTAATATGAGTATTTCTAAATCTAAAAATTGAAATAGGAAAGTCTGGTAAGTGTTTTGATGAATATTTTCAGAAATTTTTTCAATAATTTTTGAATTAATACTATTAGTCCACTCTCTCCCTATATATATATATATATATATATATATATATATATATATATATATATATATATATATATATATATATATATATATATATATATATATATATATATATATATATATATATGTATATATATATATATATCTTGTTCAAATTTTTAATTGAAGTAAAATACTTTCTATTCATCTATTAAAGTTCAAATACATTTTTTTTAAACTTGTAGTGGATGGCATTTGATGTTAATACAATTTTTTCAAATACTAATTCATTAATCAAATTAAAAAAGGAATAAATAGTAACAAACAAAAATAATATAGAATAATATAGAAAGGTACATCGTTCGTTGTGTCCCTGTAGCGTAATAGATAACGCTTTGGACTTCTAATCCAAAGGTCGAGGGTTCTAATCCCACCTGAGATGGCCTAAATTCGGTGAATGTGTTTTCCTTTTTCACTATACTATTTTATTAGAATTATTTAATTTAATTCATGAATAAATAGTAACCAACACAAAATAATCCAACATCATATATAGAAAATCGCTTTTTATTTTGTCCTATTATATTATGATTCTGTCATGTGTATATTTACATATTTATATTAATTGTAACTGTTTAATAAAAAGTAACTAAAATATAAAAATTTTTCTTTGCTGACCTAAGTAGGAATTGACTTTTTTTATCTTGCTTGTTTCATATACAGATCTATTTTAAATTGCTATAGCTCTTACGTTATTCTAAAAAAATGATTACGAGAAAAAACACATGATCGTGATGTCTTGTGACAACTACAAATAATTTCATATTTTAAATAGACGATTACTGCCCTTAAATATGTGTTAATAAGTTTAATCCAAAGGGAAAAAAAGTACACATTCCACTTACATACAACACTTCTTTGCATAGTTACTCTGAAAAATTTAAAATATTCTCCATAATATCTTTAAAGAAATATTTCAAATGCTAACACTTTAACAACGCGAATAAAGTATACATTACTATGCGGAATATATGGGACATTGACTGTTATATAAAATGATTTTGTACGTGAGGAGAGCAGGGCTATACTTTTACATTGAGACGTCCGGGGATAAAAGAGAAATGTTCATATTTATTTTTTTCTTTTAAAAATGAAAGTATAGCTATATTTCCTCTCATAGATTGAAATCTGACAAAAAAGATATTTGACTAGAATAGTCTTATCTGGATTTGTGGAGAATATTCTTTTTTCAAACAGAAAATATGCTTCTCTATTATGATTTCTTTATTATTTATAGTTTCAGATAAATTTAGGATAGCTTTATTAGAAATAACTATATAACAGTAATTTAAGAAAGTTAATCCGTTTAATAATTAATTTTTGAAATGTAAAGCTATTGTTTTCTGTTTGAAGATATACCTAATTTTAGTGGATAGGAAAATACATTTACATTTATTATAATTTTTTTTTTAATTATTCCTGTTTTCTAAGAAAGAATAAATGATTAAGAGTAATAATTAGAATTAATTTTACTTTTAATAATATTAAATTATTTTTATGTATCTTCTTTTCTAAATAGTAAGATAATAGAGTATTGACAAATTTAGAGAAACATTTTGGAAGTGTGTTTATTTGATTATAGAGAAAGTACTAAGTGTTTCGTGAAATACTCTGAAGATCCAATAAAATGTAAAGGAAATATTTCGTTTCAGAAGACTATGTTTGTATTCCAAGCTTGTTCATAAAATTCTTTGTGATAAAGTATTATCGTCAACGAGGCCAGAAAGTAGTAATATCGTTGGAGAAATCCATGGAAAATTGTTGTTTGCATTTGAATTTTTTCGATGTTGTGTATGCACTACATACTGTTCTTAAAATATGTTGCATCTACTTTATGGGGACATACTTTTGTAAATTTTATTTTAAGTCATTTCGTGTAAGCATTTCAATACTTACAAAAAAAACGAACTACAGCAAGAATTTCTTTAATAGTATTTCTATTCTATTTATAAATTATGTAGATTAGTGGAAAATATAATTTCTGAATGCTATAAGAATGATGGGGGATTTAATCTTATGTTTTTCGTAATCAGATTTAATTGTACATACTAAGCAAATTATATTCTCGTTAAATATGCAATTTCTGATAAATATATATGTGTATATTGCTGGCATTTTTAGACGCAACACAAGGGAGGAAAACATATATTAAACAAATTTATTAATCAAATAAAATAAAAATCAAGAATGGAGTAATTAAAATAACATTCGCATTCTATTTGCAGAACACAAAAAAACCATTATTTTGTGTTGCAGCCAAGACTGGCCATAACTTATATACTCAGCGCCTTAGCATTGGAAAAAAAAGAGACATTGCATGGATTCATGTGGTACTTCAGTACGTGCTATATTCAAACGCTGATATAAGTTCATACTACATTGTAGCAAATGTTCCAAGAGGGGTCAATAGCTCCCCAATCATTAGCCATAAGAGTTCGATGGATGAAAAATAGGTGAAAAAATGCATTCGTTTAACTTAGGGAGAATTAGAGAACGCTATGTACCATTGCATTGCTTTGTCGAATCCTAGCTGTACTGAAATCTTGAAAGTAAAGAAATATAATAGGATCTAAAACACCGTACAAATAATGATGGGTGTTGAGTGTATTAAGAAGAGTAAGTATTAAGTATTAAGGAGAGGTGGAAGTAAAATTAAATGAGAAAGACTTATGTGAATGACTCGTATAGGGATACATTAAGCTAGAGACATGACATCTCTCGTCGCGGTGCTGCCCAACTCAGATATGACCATCAAAATGTTGCACTGCAGAATCATGATTATTTGAAAAACAGTGTCGTACGGTTTGGTTGTCTATGTCAGGTGTTCAGTTTAAATTTGCTTTCGAATACGCTTCTCTTTTGCAGTCAAAAGTAACAGCAGCCATTTCTACAACTTTTCCCTACTGTAAAAAATATTGAATAGTACAGGTGACATAGATGATTGCGTATCAAACCATAATTCTTGCACTAAAGTTCTGAATAGTGCAGTGCGATTTTTGTGTATCAAGTTCACGATGTTTCTGTAATCACGTTCCATATTGGGTCGAGGCTGGTGCAATTCATCCTATCAGTTGATGCGTTTTTCTTATATGCACCAACTGCATTCAAACCCATGTGACTTGACCCAGACTGACACGAGCACGAAGTTTTTGAAAGGATAATCCATAACTTCTATGGACCATAATTCTTCCTATTTTAAAATTAGAAACGAGCTTTACTGTGACTCACGTGTTTTTCTATAAGGCATACTGAAGTTTTTCATGAAAAGATAAAAAAAAGAAAGCATGTTTCCAATACTAAAACATAACCAACTGTTCCTATTTACATAGTGCTTATATATGACTCTACTAGCACATACGATATACATATGACCTGCAATGCTTATTATTTGCATGTATTATCAAGCTATACACAAAGTAGAAATTCCACGCCTATTGGACGCTTCCATAATGATTTTGCATTTTGAATAGCCAGCAGTGCAGATTTCTAGAATTTTTTCTGTTGCACTAGTTCAAAATTTGAACGTTTCTCAATCATATAAAACATTTAAAGGTGAAGCAATTTTTCAAATAAAATAACTTAATTTTCGAACACTTAAAATATTTTTATCCTTGATGTGTTTAAAAAAAGCTTTAAAAACTCGATTGGCTGAAACTTTTTTTTTTTTGTAAATTTACGTTGTTAATCTAAAAAAGTTAAACATTTCGGGAATATACTGGAAAATTTAAGAGCCTTTCCCTTTATTTTTTTATTTCCTTAGTAAAAGGAATTAAAGGAGTTTTCTGTCATATTGAATTAACACAGTTCATATCGCATGCTAAAATAACTCTGCACACATTCAAAGTAATCATTAATTTTAAAAGAAATTAAGCGTTTAACTACATACACAAATTAAAATAAACTTATTTAATTACTCATGGTGCTAAACTTTGAAAAAAAAATTAATAAGCAGTATTTGTCAGCTGCAAACATAACAGAGAATTTTAAAATTGCTTAATTATCTACAATTTATGCCTTCAATGAATTCAACTCATTTCAGAAAATTAGTGCGCTTTAAATTGAATTATTTAACAGTATATTATACCAATTTTTTACCAAGTTTTTTTCAGATTAAATTTTTGAAGTGTATTATTTCCTTCATAAAATTTAATGAACATTAATTATAAAATGAATTTATATTATCCCTATGCAATATACGTTTTATTCGATGATGCCATATTCATTGTTATTGAATATACAAATGAAATGATAATCTGGAATTGCTAAGAAAGGGAAGAACACGTTCGAAATAATTATAAAAGATGATAGCAATGATATTCCCATGGATCAGCTAAAAAAGGTAAAACTAGTTTTTTTGTATATTTTAGCAATATTATATATTAAGCAACATTATATGAATTTTATGTATAATATACTTTTCAATTTATAATTGAAAGCTGCTACAGAGATTTTCCTTTTATATGTATTGGCTATCATACCAAAAGAAATCAAATAAATTTTCCATCATAACAAATCCAAGCAAATTGACAATTTCATAATATAATGAATTTTTTAAAATTTAAAATATGAAAAATGCTGATGCATTTCAAAAATTTTCTCCACAATGTTTACAGTTAATTGAAAAAAATAACGATGATCTCAAACTTAAAATTCAAAGCCATAAAATACGTACCTGGGAAGCATCGTCATACTGTTTCAAGTCTTTCAAAATGTCTCCATGATCAGCATGCAATTGTGCGCAAGCAGTTTCGGTAAATGAGCAAAGATTCAGAGATTTCAAAATGTGCTCCAAAGCCTAGAATATAATAGAGAGAGGATATATGATTTCTCTCGAATTCTAGAAAATGAATTTTTTTATACTACACACACAAAGTAAAATTCTGAGCACTAAAAAGAGGTATGAGTGCTTAGGTACTACATACTTAAAGTTTTGATTGAAATTGTGAAAATATATGTAACTTTATTTTTATATTTTGACAAATGAATGATTGGATAAAAAAATCAATTTAATATAGTGTGTAATTTATTTTTATACATTTTATTTAAAAACTTTGCCACTTCCAGAAAAAAAATATTCTCAGTTATCTGGAGAAATGAATTATGAGATTAAAATCAAGTTGAGCTACCATATACATTTATTTATAAATTGTATCCATTCTGAAATAAACTTGTGGATTCAACAAAAAGAAAACAATTGAAAATATCATTAAGATTTGAACGAAAAATAATAAAATTATCTTAAAGTAATAAAATGTGATCTCAAATATATTTTTGCGTGTTATTTGTGGATAAATATACTTGGTTAATAATAAAGGAAATAAATGTTTTGTTTCGTTTTTGTCGCAAGCATAATATACTTAGAAAAAAAATATTGGCAAAAGT